AGTGACACCAGCTTCCCATAGCACAAGGCCAGCTCAGGGCCCCTTCTCCAGGAGCCTGCCCTGGACCTGGCCTATCTCGCCCTTCCTGGAACTCCTGCAGGTCAGGCCATCTTCCTGCTCGTTACTGTGTCATTCCCCAGTCCCTGCCTTCCTACCTACAGTTCCAGCATGGTCAAGAAGCTGAATGGTCTCCTGTAGCCCTGGGGGTACCATGCACGGGGATGGGCACACTGCAGGCTCCCAACATGTAACTGGGAGTTGACTTATTGCACATTGGGAGGAGGTGGCTGGAGGCAGATAGAGTTGTGGGGTGACGTGTCTCCACCAACTCCTTCCTTGTTGCCTAACTCAGGACAGAGGACACAGCACAAATGGCTCAGTAACGCTGGCTCTGAAGGAATCACTGCTCAGCCTGATTGGCTCCCATCCTCCCAGGACAGTGGGAGAGGAGAAGGGCCCTGCCCCAGCAAGTGCAAGGCTGCATTGCTGCTCCCACCATGACATGTCTGGCTGGGTCCCTCTTCACTTGCACCCCAAATGGGGACAGGAGAGGGAATATGGGGGGAGGGCGGTTGAGCAGACTGAGGCTGGAGGGGAGGGACAGGCAAAGAAAAGAAGTGAGGAAAGAGGAAGGAAGAGGACCAACAAAAAATCATTGAGAAAGCAGGTGCAAAGGGTGTGGCTCTGGGTGCCCAGCACTTCCCCTTCTCCGCATCCCTGCAGCCCGACCCCGTCCAGGCACCTGGCCCCTCCCACTGGGCAGGACCATGGGAGGCCTCCACTAGCCCACCTTCCCTGGACCTGCCACCCTGTGGCCACAGGCTCCTTCCCTTCCTCTCTTCCAGCCACTTGTCTCGAGGCCACAGATTGTAAAATCAAGTGTCTGGGAGGGCCAGCCCGCAGGAAAAGTGGAGAGCCGAAGGGAGGGGACACTGGTCAACTGGATGGCACATGTTTCATCTGATGGGGCGAATCCCCACATCATACATTCTGTGCACCTGGAATGGCAAGATCTTTTTTTTCCCTAAGAAAAGCCGCTAATCTAGGTTTTATCAAAATCCCCCCTATTTTTAAATGTTGGCTGCTATTTCAACAAAATTCTTTAAAAACCATGTGAGCAACGCTGGGTGCCATGGCTCACACCTGTAATCCCAGCACTTTCGGGGGCTGAGGCAGATGGATCACCGGAGCTCAGAAGTTTGCGGCCAGCCTGGGCAACATGGTGAAACCCCGTCTCTATCAAAAATATAGACAGGTAGCTGGGCATGATGGCACATGCCTGTGGTCCCAGCTACTCAGGAGGCTTAGGTGGGAGGATCGCTTGAGCCTGGGAGGCTGAGGTCGCAGTGAGCTGAAATGGTACCACTGCACTCCAACTTGGGTGACACAGTGAGATCCCATCTCAAAAATAAAATTAGATTAGTGGCCACCCAGAGCCTGTGGGCTCTGGTCTGCAACGCCCCCGTGAAGCGTTCCTCAAAGTTACCCCTAACCAGGGACTCTCCTTCCTCCTACCCCGTCAGCAACTACTCAGCAAACCCACTATTTCCTCTGAGTCCGTGACTCCCTGAAATACCGGCTCCACCTTTCTCCCCAAACCTAGGCCTGACTCTGCCCCAGTGCTTCCCGGTCAGGCCCAGCAGCCACACTGGGAATAATCCTAAACAGCACTTATGAGGGCTGACTCCGTGCCAGGCCTTGTAGGGGCTTAGTGTAAATACCAGGGCAGATTTTCTTCCTTCCCCAAGGCCTCTGCAAGGACTAGAAGAGAAAGAGGCCTTGTTGGGGTTGGCATCTGGTGACTTTTTTGAGTCCCTCCCTCTTCTAAGAGTGGACTTTGAGGATGCTTAATGCTTTGGGTGGGTGGGAATGGGTACCCCTGAGTCCAGCCAGCATGTCCATATGCAGACAGCAGAGGCTCATCTGAGCAAAAAGTCCTGATGCTGCGGCACTTAGGAGCACTTGGTATTATAGTAAGGCCTGTGGGCCCCAGGAGCCACAACTCTGCCTCCCTAACCCACGGGAGGGCCCAGATTGACTGAGTGGGATGCTGGGCTCAGAAGCACGCAGGGGTCAGTCTGGACCCTGGTGAGGTGGAGCAGCAGGACAGAGTAGAGAGGGAGAGCTCCACCCCAGTGCCTGCTTGAGGCAGCCATACCACTGAGCAGGTGGGAAGTACACATGGGGCAGGAGCTGCCTTTGGCTCCAGCGAGCCTCCATTGTGTACACGTGGACGTGCTGGCTGGACTCACAGAGGTGCTGCTCACACCCGTCCGAAGCATTAAGTGCTCTCAGGGCCCACTCTCGGAAGAGGGAGCACTTTCAAAAAGTCACCAGGAGGCCAACCCTGTCCTCAGGACTGGGTCATGCGGTGGCCTGCCAGCCAGCAGAGGCACAGGAAGGACAGAGGGCTGGACTCTGCCAACTCTGGGTGGGCGAGCCACATCCTTCCTGTTCCCGCTCCTCCGCCGGCTGGTGCACGTCCCTTGGCGAGCAAATGGAGAAGGCAGGGAAGCCGTCCTCTCCCATGAAGGACAGAGTATCCCTCCGGCCAGCTGCTCTGCCTGTGTCCCCCAGCAGGACATCACAGAAATCACAGCACCCTGGGACAGACAGACAGACCAAGGCCTGATGTCTAAGGCTGTGGAGAGGACAGTGAGGAGACGACCAGGAGTAAAACAGAGTCGGAGGCAAGGACTCGGCTCCCTGCAACCCTGAGCTCTGGCCCACACCTCCTTTTCCCCCACCCATTCCCTCCAGGGCATTTCAGATCCATTCAGCTGTGTGGGTTGAATGGCAGCCCTCAAAATATCCCTCCTCCTGCCAATCCCCAACCACTATGATTGTGACCTAATTTGGGAAAAGGGTCTTTGCAGATGAGATTACTTTAAGGATCCTGAGATGAGATTATCCTGGATTACCTGAGAGGGCCTGAAATCCAACAAGTATCCTTACGAAGTGACAGAAATGAGAGACAGAAGAGAGGTGAGCGGAGACGGAGGCTGGGGTGGGAGTGACACTGCCACAGCCGAGGGTCATCTAAGCCAATAGGAGCTGGAAGAGGCAAAGAGGGACTCTCCTCTAGAGCATCCGGAGGGAGCGTGGCCCTGATACCTTGATCCTGACCTCTAAAATTGTGAGAAGAAATCCCGGTGTGTGGCAACTTGCTCTGGCCACCCCAAGAGACTACTGCAGTCTCCAAGCATGATGCTCCCTCCTCTCTCACAGCCAGCTCCCCTCGCTGACCTTCCTCTTTGTTGGGGTATGTCTAGTCTCCCCAGCCACCTCTGACCTGGCCTTTGCTCTGTACCAAAGCCTAGGGATTTCATGTGAAATGGAATGTCTCTTACATGCTGGCCAGCGTAGGCCTTTGGGGTCAGCTCGTCTGAACTCTCTCTAACACTTGACAACCCCTAGTTAGCTCCCCAACACTGCACATCTGCCCTCCCTATTTCAATAGGGTCTGGTTTCCATGGGACACACGTCAGCGCTGTGAGAATGATGTTCAAGCCTGGCCCAACCAGCCTCAGAGGACACCTTGGTTCCCTCTCTGCCTGGCCCTGCCACTTCAGATCATTTCCTTTCCCCCAAATACCTCCTGCACCCCCACCCCAACACCATTCATGGAAACGTCCATGCTTCACCTCTCTGCTGGCCAAAACCCTACCCAACTGACCTCATAGCAAGCCTATCTCAGAAACCACTTCCAAGGAGCCTTTCTGGATCCTAAGGCAAAACCCTCTTTCTTCTAAGGGAGAGAAGAACAGGGGAGGGAGAGGGACAGAGGAATTAGGTCCCACTGAGTGCAGCCAGGCACCTTGTATAGTTCAGGTGACTCTGCAGATGTACCCGGCACACCCAACCCAGGCAAGTCCCAAGTGTCTCTATCGTTAAGTCATCCTATTTAACCCTCGCAGCCACCCCAGGGGTGGGGGCCATCAGCCCCACGTTCTTGGCAGGAGGCACTGAGAGGTAGAGCAACATGCCCAAGGTCACACAACAGCCTGGCTCCAGGCTCTGTGTCACCCTGGTGTGCCCCGCAGCTGCCTCTGTCCTTGTCCTGCCCTATCACCATCCTCACTGTGAGCTTCTCGAGGCAAGGGTGGGGTCCTGTTTATCTTTACATTCCCCAGAGCAACTGGCATGGATCTGTACTCGGTGCCAAGGACACACACTATCCTGGGGGCCCACAGCTCACACCACGCACTGGAGGCACCACTTTCACAAGAAAGCCTCCACAAATACCCACCACTCGAAGGAAGGATGCATCTCCCACAGTCAGCCTGTGCGGGGGGTCTCCCTCGGCCACCAGGCTCCCACCTCCGATTCCTCGGCCTGAATCACAGTTCCAGCAATGCCGCCCTCGCCACTTCCCGTTGTCCTCCATTGGCTTGGTCTGGGCTCATATTCCTCAGAATTTCCCCTAGCCCTGTGGCCGCCTCTCACCCACAAGCCCACAAGAGTGCTGGTTTGGAGAGAACACGAACAACGAACTCGGGGCAGGACATGCCAGAGTTCCCAAGCCTCATCCCCTTCCTCTCTCCACCCCCTGCTCTACACACCCGCTGCCTCCAGGCAGAGCTGCAAACGTTCAGACAAAACCACACTTTCTCAGTGGGGCAGGGAGGGGAGGCTGCACGCCCAGACACAGGCTCCACACAACAGCAGACACACTGACTCAATGGGAAGGGGAAGGGGCTGGAACACAGCCTGGGAGTAAACACAAAGGAAAACAGGGAGGGAACAAAGCCCTCCCTTGGCCACTCCCCGCCCACTCCCACTTTCCCCCTTTCACTGAGGAACTGGGATGGGTGGAATTAAATAAAGGACCATCACCCAGCAGCCAGCTTCTTTTTGATCCCTGGTTGGGAACAAAGAAAGCCCAGCTTAGAAAGACACCCTGCCTCTAGGAGATCGGGGAGGATGAACCCTCCAGGCCTTCTCATGGCTCGGACAGGCCAGATGCCCACGGCAGCCTCCCCACCCCACTGATCTCTTACCCACGTCCTGGCTTCCAGAGATTCTGGGCCCCACACAGCGAAAGAAATCCCAGACTGTGTTTCTACCCAGGTCCCCTGTGGCTTAGGTACCTGACACAATGCCTGGGCCCCAGCTGGGCTGGGGAGAGCGGGGAGAGGAAGGGAAGCGCGTACACACACACACACCCACACACACACACACACGCACGCACGCACGCACATGCACACACTCTGCCTGCAAAGATCTAAAACCCCCTTTCATCTCAATAAAGGGGAGCAGTTACTGACACAAAGACAAAGCTGTAAAAAAATTAAGAGCGTCTTTGCTTACGCTCTGCTGCAGGGATCTGGGCTGAACAATAGAGCTGGGCCCCTGCCAGCCCTCCCACACCAGTCAGCACAAACCAGTCCTCCTCTCCGGAGAGCAGAGGGCCCACATGGTAAGGCTAGGAACAGTTAGCAAAATTGCTCCCAGAAGTACCTGTGCCTACTCAGAGTCATACTCCCTATTAATTGCACAAAACAACCCTACAGCGACATCGTCTTCTAGCCACAGGGACAGAGCAATAAGGTGTGATGCGGGTGCTCCACCGAGGCTGTGCTGGCATCCAGTAGGTGCCCAAATAATGCCTGCCAAATGCATGGACCCCTGACTCACATGTGTGTCAGACCGAGGTGCGCAGCAAGCAGCCACTGCTAGTGAAGAGTTCACACGGGCTCATTCCCATTCCTAGGGTCACCGAGAAAGAAACAGCCCATAGCTCATCAGCTGAGAAGAGCTTAACAGTTTGCAGAGGCTTAGAGAACCACAGCTAAGCAGTCAAACTCTGGAATCAGATGTCCTGGGTTTGAATCTTGGCTCTACTGCTTGCTATGGCAATATGTCCAATTTATGACATTGTGCACCATCTCACAGTCCCTCAGCGGAGCTTGGCAAATGATACTGCTATCGGCACTGGTACTGGTGCCATGGTCAGGTCTCCCTTTTGATTTGTTAAATCGTCATGGTTGCAATGTTAAGGAGTCCTCTGGGAAGAGCAACATCCCTGCGGCTCCTCCAGAAGCCTGGAGAGTATGACTAAGTTGCTTCCTCCACCTCTTCGTCTTCTTCTAAAGGCCCCAGGGGCTGACACAGAGGAGGGTCAGCAGCACCCTTCCTTGCTCCGTCCAGTCTGGCATTATTGACACCAACAGCTCTTCCGTTAGGTTCTGCGTACCCAGCATGGGAAGAGGGTAGGTGCTGAATACATGAATGGAGTTAGGATTGGGAAAAGAACCTCACTGCCTTTACTCCCAGGAGCAGGAATATGAAATTCCTGGAGTGAAGTGGGAAGCTGTACCTCCCAGGAAGAAAGAATGTAGAAGTTCTTCATTCTTTCTTCCCGGGAGGTGCCCTGCAGTCAGAAAAGCAAAGCACTAACAGTGTAAGTGCCTTGGGAAACGTAAGCAAAATCCCTTCCAGACGTAGTCCTGGAGACAGAGATGGTTGCAGCCCCTTTTTGTCTGGACCGACCTTCATCTAACTGCAGGTGGACTCACTGCCAACATTCAGAAAATGGCCCAGGAATGAACCCCGACTCGTTTATCTGACCCTCAGCTGCCTTGCCTTGGACACCTCCCTTCTTGTTCAAGCTTCTTGCAGAAATGGACGATAAACAGAGGCTTACAGGGTAAGAGAAGGAGCAGAGAAGTAATTCTTCTTTCAGGAGAAAAACAGGACAAGCCTCAGGGCCCTGACGCACCATGGGAGGGTTTAATAAATTACAACTACTGCATCCCATTTATTGTGCAATAATGCTTTACATGTATCATTCTCACATCAACCCTTGGAGGCAGGCACTTATCCCCATTTTACAGATAAGGAAACTGAGGCATAGAGGTGAGGCCGCCCACCAACATCATAGAGCCAGCATTTCAATCCAAACCTATCTGACTTTCAAGCCTATGATCATCCCATGAAGCCATAAGCTATGCTGCTTTCGGTGACCTGGTATCTGTGGAAAATTAGACATGTACCTATGGACTTTCCTCCCCAGACTGTTTAGGCAAGGGTAGGTGACAATTTAGATGAAATGTGGGCATGAAACAGGGAGTTAGACTTAATGAACGCTTGAGAGTCCTTCTACCAAGATTTTGTGTGTGGCTTGGGCTATTTGAGATAAAAGGAATGGAAAGCCTTCCCTGCAAAGAAGGGAGTGAGGGCTTCTTGACCCTGGCAAGTAGGTATGTATTGGGGTGAAACATCAGGAAGTGGCATGGGTACATTAGGGACATTTTAAGGCGGCACACAGGGGTGGGACCCAGGCAGCCCCTGCTCTCCTGCCCTCCGGCCCAGGCATGCTGCACCCCTGCCTTCTTGGGAACTTTGGAACAAAGCCTCAGCAAACAAAGGACTCCTTCATAAACTTCAGGTGGATCCCCTGACTGCTGCTAAGAGGCTATTGAAGCTGGCTCCCATGAGAACAGTATGTTATGAGCACATGGTTTTGTACCAGTGGGCAGGGCCAAAATGATGACACTTCCCTGCTGCTTTGATATAGGAGGAGGAGTGAGGGTGAGGAGGACTCCTGCATCAGCTGAGGGAAATGACCTGGAAGGGAGAGAAAACAGTAGCAGCCCAGGACAGCTTCCAAGCTGAGCCCTCTTCCCGGGCAGTGAGCGCAGTGAGCGTCCCACTGTGTTATGCACCTGGAAGTGGGTCATTTGATAGCTGTGGGCCTTTGTATTTTTCCTAGGGACTTCTGTCAGAGGATTGCAGAGTGCTCTGAATATTATCAGGAACTGCCTGTAGCTGTGCCCATTAAACAGAAAAGAAAACTGAGTGCTGGAAGGGGAAGCCTTTCCTTCCTTTCATCCTCATATAGCCCAGGCTACAGTCACAGCATCGCTTGGCAGAAGGAGTCCCCGAAGTTCATTAGGTCTGCTAATATCAGAGTGAATCACAGCAGGAAGGGACCAGAAGGCTCAGGCCTGGAGCTGGTGGTGTGCTTGCTGTCTTCTCAGTTTTGATTCTTAAACTTTGTGAGATTCTTTATACCATCTGATACTTTCTGGGCTATGGTGTCCAGGCAGACGCCTGAGGTGGCAGAAAGAGTCTAAGGCCCTGGGAGAGAGCAAATCTAGGTTTGAATCTTGTCTCTGTTGTTTTCCGTTTGGGGCAAGTCACTCTGAGTCTTTCACCTGTAAAACTAGGATAATACTCACCTTGAAGGGTTGTTGTGAGGACGATAAATAAATATGTGTAAACCCCTAGAAAGAAGCTTTGCTTAGTAAATAACTACTTTTTTTTTTTTTTTTTTAACAAGGCCATTCTACTTATATGAACAATGTAATATCCACAACGATGGATTCGGGACCATATTTGTAAATAGAATCATAATCTGCAAATGGTCATCTCGGCTAATGATACTCTAATTTTCATTTATAAACCTGAAAAAGCCAGGTGAATACAAGAATTAGGGCAATGACTGTAGCCAGTGATATGCTGGACATCAGAAAAGCACCTGAAGTTATGCCTAGTTGTACAAAACAAAAACTTGAATCAGGTGCCTTCAAGTGGAAGGACAAGGTGATTCCTGAAGCCTCCATAGAGAGACCTACTGTATCATCTCGTTTTTCACCTTTCTTCAGGACAGGGAGTCCTCCCTCTCCTGCCTCTTTTGTCTCCTGTGCTGATGTGTGGCAGCCCTTGCTTAGGAGGAGCAGCAGGCATCACCTGATAAGATGTGGCAGAAACCACAGGTCGCCAAGTTAAGAGCATCAGAACTGCTGAGTGACCTCAGCCTTGTAAACAGTGCCATACCAGGTGGGACGAGGTGGACGTCCATGGCCGCCCCCTCTGACTCCCCTCCCAAATTAGCAAGTGTATCTCAAGCACATCCAGCTGAAAGCTTTCCATGAATTTAGTTTAACCCATCTAGAATTTCCCAGGGAATGCCAGAGCTGAGTGAAGTGAACTTTGAGACTGGATTCCTATCTCCAGCTGGTCCTGCCTCTTGGGGCAGTGGATTCCATACTCTCTTCCTCTCCATGTGCATTTCATCATAAGGCTCCCTGAGGCCACTGAATCCCTGGTATAGGGCCGAGCATTACATAGATGCACGATGACTGCTCCATCAATGAAGCCCCTGTAGTAAGGATGTGAGCCTCCTATTTCTCACTCTCTTTTTGTGGGGAGGCTGAAGAATAGAAAGCCACTTTTCCGATGGTCCCAACACTGCTCCAGCCTGCCCTTCCCCTAACCCTCCTTACAAATCCAGGTTGCAGGAGACCCTCTAAGGAGTCCCACTCAGAGAAACAAAGGAGATTGCAGCTGTCAGCACTGGGTTCTCTGACCCATGGCCTAAAGACCCACCACCAACTGACACAGCCCAGATCTGAGACCACAGTGCCTCCCTCTCTTCACCTTCCCCCTACCCAGGCACATCCCCTCCCCAGCCTCTGAGAAACACACCTGTGAATGTGACACCTTCTATGTCCCTTCCCTTCAACATGCGTCTTACTCTTGAGGCCACTTTTTCACCTCCTTGTCTGCCTTAGGGTGGAGGTGTTGCCCTGAGCAACAGTGATGTCACCTGCAGGGTGCTTCCATTCCATTGATGTCACGGGGTGGGCCTAATGGATAGAGGGGAAGGTGCTCTCTGTGGGAAACCTTCACAGGTCCTAAACTGTTGAGGAGGAGTCTACAGTCCTTTTGGGCACTACCAAATGACCCCTTTCCTCTCCCAGAAGAGCTCTTTACCCTTCCTTCCTCTCTGGATGCCTGCTACAGCTCATGCCTCAAATCTGACTTTCCCTCTGCCAGAGTTGGTCAGAATATCAGGACGAGCAGCTCCAAACAAACCACTGGAAAGAGCACTGAGAATAGATGTCCTCCTCATCTAGGACAGTCTGGATCCCTACGGCCTTGTGTCCAGACCTCAGAGGAGGGAGCAGTGACCTGATGGGGAAGAAGTCGGCAGAGAACGCAGACCCTGGATTAACTCTGCTGTCCTGAAGAGCGCGGATTTCCAGTCTGCACCAGGCTCTGTGCTCAGTGCCTTCTGCGCGACGTCTGACTCAACCCTCCCCACAGCCCTGAGGGTCATCCTCATTTTACTGATGATGTTACCGGGGCTTGAAGAATCAAGGCACTTGCCGAACTCCTGGGAACGCCCAACCACTGAGTGGTGGAGCCAGGACTCAGCCCAAGTCTGCCCCACTTCAAAGCCCATGAACTCACACCTCCTCGGCTCTGGACACCTCGAGATGTGGCTCACTAAAGATGGACCATGAAGGGCCTGGACAGAGACCAGAAAGAGCCCTTTAAATCCAAAGAGGCCAGTTGGGCAGGGCAGGTGGCCTGAGGCAGCAAAGGAAGGCACTGCTTTAGGAGGGCTTCGCCCCCTGCCCTACACAGAGGATGCAATCAGTGGCCAGCCTTGGGCCGGCCTCCATGCTGATTAGGGACCATGTGTCTTTGCTCTATGCTTGACTTTCTATTGATTCATCCAGGTTACCTGATCATCCTCTTGATTTGCATATAGCATTATTTTCATGGCCTGGCCCTACAACCCTGAGATTATACAGTAGTTACTGAACTTACGCAAATACAAATCTTTTGTTTTTTTGAGACAGAGTCTCGCTTTGTCGCCAGGCGCCAGGCTGGAGTGCAGTGGCGCAATCTTGGCTCACTGCAACCTCTGCCTCCAGGGTTCAAGCAATTCTCCTGCCTCGGCTTCCTGAGTAGCTGGGACTACAGGCACATGCCACCATGCCCAGCTAATTTTTGTATTTTTAGTAGAGATGGGGTTTCACCGTGTTGGCCAGGATGGTCTCGATCTCTTGACCTCATGATCCGCCCGCCTCGGCCTCCCAGAGTGCTGGGATCACAGGTGTGAGCCACCGCGCCGGACCCACAAATGCAAATCTATGTCGCCGGGAGCTAATGCTTGCAAAGCATCAAACAAATAAGTAAATAAAATAAAAAATTACTACATTATGAAAGAGGAAAGGGAGAAATTCTACCAGGATTTCTCAGGGAAATACTGCCCTTGAGGCACTGGCCAAGGAGATGCCCACAGCCAGGCTGACCTGAGCATCCAGTCTACCTGGCAGGTATCTTTCTGCTGGTGAGGGGGCCACAGAGGCAGACACAGCCCTGCGCTACTGGACATCACTGCCCCCTACCCCATGCTCCTCCTGCATGGTTCTGACTCCAGCTTTGCTAAGCACAGCTTTGGTTTCCCATATGGGTTGTCTAGGATGCAGGGAAGAGACGACATCCAGCCTGTGAGATGTTTGCAAAGTCTCCTTGCAAATTAATAAACCAGCATTCTGACTTGTACACCCACTTCCGGGAGCTTTCTCGGGGTGAATCAGCTTGAGTCCAAACCAGTCTGAAAATTATGGAAATCAGGTTTTTGAGTGGGCACAGCTAAGAGCCATCTCCTAGGACAGGTGACATAATCCAGGTAAACACCACCCTCTGAGCAATCTGCTGGGCACCAGCTGTCACCTCCCAGGAGGCATCTTGACTTCCTCAATGATGAGAAGCCCCTTTTGTTTAAAGTGCCAATCGACAGTGCACAGTGAAATGCTTGGTTCCAGCTAATTAAGCTCAGCTGTATGGTGTGAAAACTCAGTGATCATGTATATGGAGCTGTGAAATGGAGTTTCAGGAAGGGTTCCTGAACGAACTTGGGAAGGGCATTTGTGGCTGAACAGGACTTCAACAAGGAAGCAAGAGACCACAGAGGGGGATTAGGGGTTTGGAAGGTCGGGACAGATGTCTCATCTCCTTCCACTGGCTCTCTGCCTAGGTCAGGACCCTGCACACAGCCACTGCCATTTCCCTCTGAGCCATACCTAGGGGCACTTACTCATCACCCTCATGCTAGGCCCCAAACTGGATCTGCCACCTCACACCACCCAGAGAAAGGCAAGTCACTTGCTTCTTGGGCCAGGCTCCCCATCAGCCATCAGGGCCGGGCTTGCCTCTTTCTTTCCTCTTCTTCCTCCTGCCAGATGAATTTCCCCTCCTTCCTCCACCTGGGCTGAGAACAGGTATTTCCTCCTTTGACAAAGAAAGAAAAAGGCAACTGTTCTTCCCTCTTTCCCACTAGGGTCCCCAATTAAACTAGTTTTTTAAGCTTAAGTTGCTTCTCGGTCTATGAATGCTCAGTGATTGAGACTCACCTTCCAGGCTCCTGAACACTTAACATCCCTGTGCCTCAGTTTCCTCATCTGTAAAATGGAGTTCACAATACTTAGCTCATAGGGCTACTGAGAGGATTAAATGAGTTAATACAGGCTAAGTGCTTTTGGAAAACAAAAAAAAGCCTGGCGAATGTTAAGCCTTCAACAGTGGCTGTTTATCAGGGCTGCTGTGAATGACGGAACAAGCCGTGTACTGCTTAAGGGCACCTGGCTGAGGGGTCAGGACAAATCCAGCTCACATGCCATTTGCCCAGCTACATGGCTTGGCTATGTCCACTCAGGTAAGGTCAGTATTTCTAAGTGGCATCAAGTGGCATTGTCTTGCCAAGACAGAGCACTTTATTCTAATTCATTCGAAGGACTGAATAGGGTAGCAGCAGCCCTGGAGGTTATCATGAACAGTTCTCAGCATCCCTGTGGTTCTGTACTCCTCTCCTCTCATACACCCACTTCTGGGAGATTTCTCAGGGTGAATCAGTAGCTCAAGTCCAAACCGCTCTGAAAATTATGGAAACTGATTTCCATAAAACCCGATTTTTGAGTGGGCACAACTAAGAGCCATCCCCTGGGACAGGTGACATGATCCAGGTAAACACCACCCCTGGGTGCACCCAGGAAGACTGGAGGAGTGGAGGGTCCAGTATGGCCTGGTGTCATCCATAATAAAGTCCTGCTTCTCAGCTCCCAGCACGTTTGGAGCGCCTGCCCCACCCAAGTACATTCTCCATTATGCCCCACAGGCTGCGCTGCCATCTCATCACTACTGGGGTGGACTCTCAACTCCAAACTTGGGACCAGAGTCTTGGACTCTGAAGGCACCTTCTCCTGCTCAGTTATTTGAGGGGGGGGGTGCAGCGGGGTGTGGGGTAAGAGGGGAGGTTAGAGACAGGGTATCACTTTGTCACCCCGGATGGAGTACAGTAGCATGATCCTAGCTCCAAATGGATGATCCTGGCTCTAAGTCTTGAACTCCTGGGTTCAAGCAAGCCTCCCAAAGCTCTGGGAAGACAGGCATGAACCACCCTGCCCAGCCTCTTTTCTGGCTTTGTTGATGGCCACCCCTCTCTGCTGACAGCTGTGAAAGGAAAATACAACCTCAGGACCCCAAGCTCAGGATGCCAAAGGGAAAAGTTAAGCTTGGGAACTGAGTCATGCAAAAAACAAAACCAAAACCAAAACTGCATTCCTTTTGTTCCCAAACAGCTATAATTTCACATGCTTACTTTACCTCATCTTATGTAAAATGTAGATCTCCTGAGCATGAGAAGAATGCACCCAGGGTGAGCAGAGTCAGTATAACTACTTCACGGTTACCCACAAGTGGAGAAAATCTGAAGGCAGAATGGCCTGGAGCAGCAGCAACACACAGGGAATCAGCAAACAATGAAAGCCACTTAGGCAAGTAGGCTGGAGGGAGGACTCAAAAACACAGCCTTTTCTGTTTTCATATGGGAGAAAGGCGGTAATCTACTTTTCTAATACTCCATTTTCAGGGCTAACCTGGGCCTAAAACTGCCCCAACCACAGAAGAACTTTAGCTGGCAGTCAGACCCGGTTTATAAAAGGCAAGAGCCCTGGGTCATATCAAAAAAAAAAAAAAAAAAAAAAAAGAACAAGAAAATAGACCGCAACCCCGATTTAGATCCAAAAGACCACAGTCCAGACTGCGACCAATATCTGGTACTCTACGAGCTGTGAACGGGTGCCTTTCTCACACCAGCAGAGGGCAAAGGCAAAATGACGCCCCTGCCTGGTTCTGCAAAATATCTTACCTTACTAGTCCGCGTCATTTTTTTTTTTTAAGAGAAAGAGCGTTTTGGATGGGGAGTCCGGCCCTGGAACTCCTTGAGTCTTCACCTGGCAGCCAGAATGGCAAAGTCACAGGGAGGGGGTTGAGGGTGGGGTTAGGGGTGAAGTGGCAGAGTTATTTGCAGTCCCATGAGAAAGTCTGCACAGTATGGGGTCTGGTCTACTAACAGACCCGAAAGAGGAAGCGGCGGGGACTTTATCCGGCCTGAAGCAGCCCCATAACTTCACTACCCTGAACCGAGAAAAAAACAACCTCACTCCTGTTCCTTTCTTACAGGAAAGGAGGGAAGAGGACAGGGAAAAGGGGGTCGCAAATATGAGCAGGGCAACCGGCTTTTCTTTCTGCGGTAGCGCTCTGCTCTGATGTGAGAAGTAACGGATTGCCCGGGCGCTAGGAACAAAAACGTGGTCCCGCTCTGGGCCCCGAGGCTCCCCGCGAAAGGAAAAGCCGCCCGCAGCCCTAGCTGCAGCGAGCGCCCTGGACGCACCCCCGTGCGGCCGGAGCAGGACGCGTGACCGCGAGGAGACAATGCGCCCGCCTGGGCATGCGCGCTTTAAGAGGGTCTCCAAAGTCAGCCCCCACCCGGGGGCCGAGCAGGCGCCCCGCTCCCGGCAGCCATCCCCGGCACAGCTCCTCCCAGCTCGCGGTCTCCATCGCGCCCTTCTTCCTTCAGCACACTAGGCTGGCCCGGGACTTACGACTGGCCTGGGTCTCCGGTCCCTGGTCCCCCCCCGCTGGAGGACCGCTCCAGCACAGGCTTTGCGCGCGGGTCGGGGGCCGGGGCGCCGCTGCTTGCAGGCGGCTGCGGCGGAGCGTGCGGCCCGGCACTTAGAGGGGCGCGGGGGAAGATGCCCCGGCTGGCTCCCGCCTTCTGGCCTCCGTCGGCTGGCTCTACAGGACTTCAGAGTTACTCATTTCCTGGATGTCACAAAAACTTTTTCCTCCTTATAAGAACAAAACACCCGCCTCCAACCGCGGCTGCGGAAGCTCCTTAAGGAGGACCGCGTGGGTTTCGGTGGTTGGGCCCAGGATCCGCTGGGAAGATCTGTCCAGTGAGCTCCCAGAGACTCCAACGGCACGGCAGAACTGGAGAGTGGCTGGGAGCGACGGAATCAGGCTACTGGAGTAAACTGGAGAGAGGGGACAGGGGCGCGGAGAGGACGCCCTTAAAAGTTGTTCTAAGCCACGGAGCGGAAGGGGTTAAGTTATTACAAGTCGGGAGTGTTTTCTGCGGCGCGTTTTACAAGTGGCAGAATTCCTGGGACCGGTCTCTTGGAGGAAAATATAAATCGAGACATAACGCCAGCCTTTTTCCCTTTTGCAGCTTAAAAGGATTAAAATAACTCGCTAACTTTTGTGATACACAAATGCCTGATTGCTTTTCTCTGGATTTAACCAGGCACAAGGGACAACGGTGACCGGATGCTCTCGGAAGCTGTCTTTTCTAAACCTGGTTACTGTTGTGACTAGATGAAGTGTTACTACCCCTATGTTAGAAACAGAGAACTGAGGCCTGGAGGAGCAGCAGCAGCATCCTGGTCAAGCTTAATCGTTTATAAAATCCTTAACTTCCATGGTCTTCCCTTTGACGTGCCCAAATCCCGCAATCAGTAGAAAAGGCAGAGAAGGGTTTGAATGAATTCTACATTAAGCGGCTTTGGGGGCATCAAATGCCAGTGAAGGCACGTTGGGGAAATTGGAA